ATGTAAGTAAATAAATGAATAACAATATAATGATAAATATAACTTAACAGTATAATTAATATCTTTTAGGATTTTTGTGATTATCGAAATGGAGTGAGAAGAGGTAGTAGGTGGACCTATACTATGAAAAGATTATATAACTTCTTCAGGACTTGATTCTGAGATAGGTCAGGCAATAATTAAAAAAGTTTAAATGATTTTTTAAGTTTATATTAAATATATTTACTTTTTTAGAATTGAGACACATTTGTAGGAGAAATTGTAATTTGCCTACTATAAGGCAAATACGAAATATAAGGCAAAACCGTGATGAGTCTGCAAGGTAAAACTACTATAACGAATAATTCGTTAACGCTATAACAAATTATTTGTTATATATACTGAATAATTTGTTATAGCGTTAATGAAGATTCTTATAATGAAGTCCTGATCGGCTAGATTGACAACTTCGTTATATTGAGGTGTGACTGTACTCTTCGTTAAAAATCTTTATTAGAATTTCTAAAATGTAGTTTATATCAAAAAAGATCCTGCTTTTTATTTGGTGTAAAATTTGATGCTGACATTATTATTAGAGAAGGAGAAGCTAGAACAGATGTTTTTTTTGAAAAAATAAATAAATGCATGATATTGTAATATGATAACACAAACTAAACCAATCATTGTTTGACACTCCTGACTAATTCTGAAATTATATCACGTGATTTGCCTTGCTTTAGAAACTTACCTAGCGTCGCCTAGAAAAAATGGTAGCCAGATTTTATTTGCCAGGTATTTATTATTAGGGTTAGTATTAGAGTTAGGGTTTGGATTAGGATTAGGATTAGGGTAGAATTAGGATTAGTTTAAGGGGGTTAGCAAATTTGTCACATCGCGTCACATACCAGCCGTTCTTCAATTTACTAAGTATTTGGGGACAGAGAAAGAGAAAAATGCTAATTGTCACAATTATATGTCACCCCTAATAAGTATATGTGACCCGGCAAAAAATCCGGCTACCATTTTTCTAGGCGACGCTAGGGCTGTTCCGTTTTAGACGACCTCCTAAAAAATACAAACACGTGAAAACTAAAAGGATATCACTTTCGTAACCAAAGAGAATAAGTATGACCGATTATTCAAATACATAGAGATTGATCTAATTGATAATTACTTTTGTTATATTATTCTTTTGTTTTATTGAAATTATTAATCAAAGTAATACAACACATTTGGAAATGAATTAGAAAATCAAAGAATTATAACGGTTCGAGAGGATAGAGATTACAAAGATAAAGATAAGAATAGGAATTCGCGAAAGCAATAAAAATTTTAATTTATATTATATATTATTATTATTATATACCATTAATATTTATAATTTTTTAGAATATCGTTAACAATGGCGCGAAAAGTATTGCCTTTTTTTTATCCAACAAAAGAATTTCGCGAGATGACGGAGAATTACATGGCCGAAAAAATAAATTTTAAAAATATTGAATTATAAATATAAGAAAATCTTACCAAATAAAAATAAAATGGTTAGAAAGAAATCAGTATATCAGATTATTAAAAGTATGCATCATTTTTTTACATGAAAAAGAAAACGATCTAACAAAACGATCTAACAAGAGAAATATAATAATAATTCAGTAATAGCATTATAATAACTGTGTTTGAAGTTTGCTTATCTCTAACATTTTTATTGCTTTTATCATCGAAACAAATTTCTAGAAACTGACGAGTTCTGACACTTATGTCCCAACCAATTGTTACTAACCTTTGTTAAATATAATAAAACAACCACCACGATGTTATAATTCTTGAATACTTTTATTAATAATTAAAGAAATACACCTTTGATCAGTTACAATATAATAAATTATCATCAACTTAAGTTTCTTTTCATTAACTAATGAAGGATCTGTAAAATATAATACATAATTCTCCTCCAATTATGATTCACTAGAAATTACTTTATGGCATCTTTCAACTAATAACAACATGGTTTTCACAAATTCAACCAAATTCAAATTATTTGGCTCTGCACCAAGAATATCGTTTACTGTCCATTTAGCAACCTGACCACTTTTAATCTTAGAGTTCTGTTCAAATGATTGTCTATGTTTTTCGTTATAAATCTATTTTTATTTTTTTAAAAAAAAAAAAATAAAAATAAAAAGTAAATAAATATATATAAAAATGTAAAATATCTTATTAATTCAAAATGAGAGAAAATCGAATAAAATACTATCAACGTTCTTACCTCAATTGTATAATGTACTTCACCATATCCAGTCTTTCCTAATATTTTATTAGTATTATTTTGTTCGACAAGAGGTATCTTTTCGACACGAGCCAGCTCTGCGACAAAAGGCTCGTGCAATTTGTATTTTGTAATTTGTTTAAAGTTAATAGACTTCACAGTAAGGAAATCCCCAACGTTCTCGAATGTGATCATTTGGTTAGTTGGGCTAACTGATGTCTTCTTGATAAATGTGCTGAATGGTTTAACATCGTGACGAATAGCGCGTCTTGTAGCCAAAATCATGGAGAAATCGGATTTTCTGATGAACACAAGTTAAATAGGGTTAGAATAAATAATAATAATAAAATAAGATATATATATATATATATATATATCAATGAAAATTCTTACCGATCTAATATCGTCCAATCTATTTCTACAGGGCTATTCCATGGTAGCATGACTTTTTCTAAAGACACGTAACCCATTTTAACATACATGAAAACCTTAGAATAAGCGCCATGTGGAGTGTTTGTTGCATCTGCTATTACTTCGAAATGCGCAGATTTTTGGGCAGAATTTGGACCAAGAACCCGAGCAAATTTCTCAACAATATTGTCGTCGAATGTTGCACTAAAAGATTTTTTTTTTGTTTTTTTTGTTTTTGTTTTTTTTTTTTGTAATTATATAATAAATTATCTAAATTATTTCAAAAATTCTTTAGAACTTACATTCTATTGAACATTGGGTTTACACCATATTCTGAACCAATAACGTCTTTCAAATCATTAAATTCCCATAGCTTACGCCTAACTTGTTCAGGAACTTTAGGGAACATCACTTTGCCCAAACTAATTAAAGAATTAATTAAAATTATTAAATTTGAACAATAAACACTTGAAATTTTTAATCGAAATTACTCACCATCCATAAAAACGTATCTCGCCTTTATGTACTCGTACATTCTCTAATCTAGATAATGTATAATGTATCAATCAATCAATATATAAATAAATATGAAGATACCGACAATACAAATCATAAATCAATATTAAGTACACTTCTTTCATTGCATTTTTAATAATCGTAAAGTTATAATCTCGAATCCTATAAAAGAAATTATTGTTCATTAATGTAACAAATTATGAAATTAACAAATTAGCCGATAACATACATTTTCCCGGGAGTGGGTCCATCCGGACGATTATTGCTATTAGGGTTTTTTTGATTAAACATCTGCTTGGTCCTAGGTTTAATAGCGGTTACTATTACTTTGTTCTCATCAAATGTATCCGTCCACTGTTCATCAGTATCAAGATCAATCAAGGTTGTTGAAACTTGGTTGGTATGATCATATGATTTTCGAAATTCATTCGGTTTCTTTGGAGTGGAAGGTGAAATACTTCCAGGGTAACTTTCTCTATTATTTCTCTGGGACTGATATCCAAAATCGTCATTACGAGAAGTAGGGGCTGGGAAAGTGGATGTTGATTTTACGTCAGGTGTATGGGAAGGCCATTGCATATCGTTACTAAGCCTCGAAGGTGTAGGGTTACTGGGAGGATAGACTACCTTGGCTTTTCCTTTTACAGCCCTTTCTGCCTCTCTGTTACTTTCCTGCCATTTCATCTGCATACGGTCATATTGAATATCATGTGAATAACTATCCTGTTGCAAATTGGGATCGGAGATTAAGTTTTCTCTAGGTACTAAATATTTTTTTGTAACTGGATGTCCTATAGCCGCAACAAGTATGTAATTATCCTTCGCAATAGGTTTAACCGTCTTGCTAAAGTATGAATGATTTTGGAGGGGACAAAAATACAATTTGAATAATACAGATTGATCTGGGTAATGTACAAGTGGAATCCGTTTTGGTTTTGGGGTTGGTTGAAGCTGTGGAATTAAACAAAATACAATAGAAGGTTAATGATGGTTCAACTTTCCGGGCAAACCATTATAATATTATTCTAAAATTCTCTTACATAATTTTTTTCTAATTGATCTAATCTCTTTAATGCCTCCTCGATATCACTCCTTTTACCTCCAGTAATTTGTATTTGCTATCAAGAAAAAAAAATTTATAAACCAAAAGTAGGTGTTATAAATAAATAAAACAGGTAATTCATTGACAGGATGAAAAGTTAATACCTGCTCACCTTTTCTTCTGGAATTACATCACCTGTAACATTACAATCTCTACAAATGTCTTTCCAATAATCGGTAATTAGGAAGGTTTCTTTACGATTCCATCCCAATACATTGCCAATTTCTTGAACAATGCTAGAGAATCTAAATATGTCTTGTAGTCCTTCGGTTTCTTCATCTTCGCTTATAATCAATGGTCGTACTTCATCATCCGATAAATCAGGAGGTGGACCAACCGGATCACTCAAGATTCTGCGCGTTTTTTTTTTAGGTTTACGAGGTACCACAAGGACCGGCTTTGCGGAGTTGGACTACGTGTATATCAAGTTTACATCAAAATACAAATTTAAATATAATATACTCTTGTTAAAATTTTCATACTTTATTATTAAGCAGTTTGACCAATTCGTCACACCTATAAATCAATTAATAATATATGAATGAGTAATTCATTTCAATTCTAAGAACTTAAAGAAATATGACGATACGTCTTACGCTTTGCTCAATTCATCATGTTTAGTACCCTTAATCTCAAACGACTAGTTAAAAAAAAAAGAGATATATAATTTTTTTAATTATAAGATGCAAAAAAAAAAAAATTTAACTACCATTCTTTCGAATGACCAATAAATACAAACATGTTTTTCTATAATGTAATTGATTTTGGTACCGGTTTTACTTTCAATTGTACTGTCAATAATAAAAAGCATCATCACAAATATTTATTTATAATCATTCTTAATTTAATTAACAAGCATTTATTATGAATGTAACGTACCGACAAAAGGAATTAATTTGTTCATTATCAGTATCGTTCCACTCCCAGATAGTTTGAATGGTATACAGAATTTCTTCATTTGACGCGACATTACAAGTGAATTAAATAAATTTAGGGTGCAAATGAAACACTAACATCTATCGAAGACCATTTCAAAAAGTTTACCTGTCATTGCAATTTCTATTTTTATAGTCACGCAAGAAAAACTCGACGGCAGAAGAGTTTTTTTGTATATAAAAAAAAAAATCAAAAAAAATTTTATTGATTAAGAACCAGTCCATCCATAAAAGGCAAAGATTTACGAAAAAATTTTTTCCCTTATAGGGACAACAATTATAACGTTGGGAAAAATATTTTATTCAAATCATCAAAATTCACAACATTAAATTATTTCAAAGATTGTGAGAAAGTTAACAATATTTTTTTTTGGAAGAATTAAGTATTTTTGATTTTACATTTTGATTTTAAAAACAGGAAATTACTGTAAATTTTTTGTCAAATAATATATTTTTCTTGCCCATAATTAATAACCTGATCTAGTAACTTGCCAGACACGAATTCTATGATCTAAAATTATAAATAAAATAAAAATATTAATAAATAATGTAAAGTTTAGAATTGATAATTGATTTATTAACAAATTTAATCATTTACCTGTATAACCAGCAAACAAAGTAGTGCCATCCGGTGACCATGCGAGTGAAATACATTCGGGATCTTTTGAATATTTACCCGTTTCCGTGAAATCTGGTTTGAGATCATCAACGACAGTCTTGGTTTC